GCCAGATGCAGGATCTTTTTTGACAAAAGAGATCGACCTAGGATCGGGAGATGTGGCACTGGAGTGGCTTCCAAGGTTTGATACAGATGAGTGGAAAGCTCATCTTCCAAAAGAAGTCGGATTACGACCAGACTCCATACTACTAGTAGAATATACATCGCCTACTAGCAATTATCCGAAGCCTCTTTCAATATCCAACCCGATGCCTGCGCAGCCAATGCGACCAAAACAGCAACGAAAGCGTGATCGTATTCTCTCTCGACTCCGGCTCTCACGTTACAAGAAGAATACGTCAGGCAAACCTCCCAGCTCAACAGACTCACTTTCCATAGAAGAAATCCTCGCATCAGTCTGGCCCGCAATAACTTGGCGCTCCCGCATACTTATCTTTGGTGCTCTCATGTGCACCATCATCCACTCGGTCTGTACCCCAGTCTTTGCCTGGGTCTTCGCACGACTTCTCGGTACATTTCAAGAGTCTGCCTCTCAAAGCCACAATAAAGCGCGTGACTACGCCCTCGCAATCCTTGGTATCGCTACTGCCGACGGTCTCTCAAAATACTTCATGTTCTTCCTATCAGACGTGGTAGCACAAGCCTGGAGCTTATCACTTAAAAGAGAAGCCCTGCGTCGGATCCTGCTACAACCGCGCGAATTCTTTGACAAGGAAGAGAACAGCACATCTCGCCTGACCGAAACGCTTGACTACTTTGCCGAGGAAGCAAGGAATCTACCCGGAAGGTTCGCCTGCATATTCCTTGCCATGGTACTTATGGTATCAATCTCCATCTCATGGAGTATGGCTATTTCATGGAAATTAGCACTTGTAGCACTTGCGACGGGCCCTATTCTCTTTACAATCACAAAGTGTAACAACATGGTCAGCAATCACTGGGAGAAGCTTTCTAGCGAGGCCGAAGACAAAGTAGGAGAGGTACTGCACGAGACGTTTGTGAATATTAAAACAGTCCGATGTCTGGGACTAGAGAGCCATTTTCGGAAGAAGTATCGCTATGCAACGACCGAGGCAGTCAAGCTGGGTATGAAGCGCGCCCTCTACTCTGGCTCCATCTTTGGTCTAGCATTTACCGGCGTCATATTTGTGGCTATTCTCCTGTACTGGTATGGCGCACTACTCATGTCGAGGAATGAGTATACCGCGAACAAAGTCATGGAATGCTTCTTGATACTCATGCTGAGCGTCAACTACATCAGTTCACTGGCCCAGTATATCACTCAGATCAACATCTCAAGAGACGCCAGCACACGACTACTCCGCCTTGCACGACTTCCTACCGACTCCCACGAAGCAGCAGGAAACCTACCAATCCAATCCATCACGGATATCAGCTTCAAAAACGTAAACTTCACATACCCATCCCGCAAAGACACCCGCATCATCCACAACCTCACCTTCTCCATCCCCCACGGCACCTGCACCGCCATCGTCGGATCCTCTGGCTCAGGAAAATCCACAATCGGCTCCCTCCTCCTCAAACTCTACCAGCCAGACACCGACAATACAACCCCCAAAAACGGGCTCTGGTTCTCCTCGCAAAACATTTCCACTCTATCCACCCCCTCCCTCCGCTCCCGCATAGCCCTCGTCCCCCAATCCCCCGTCCTCTTCCCAGGCACAATCGCCCAGAACATAACATACGGCCTATCTCCTTCCGCCGCGGAAACCAGCCCGGCATCCATCCGCGCAGCAGCCCACGCAGCAGGCCTCTCCGACTTCATAGATAGTCTAGCAAACGGCTACAATACCCTCGTTGGCACCGGCGGCACCACGCTATCCGGCGGCCAAACCCAGCGTCTCGCCATTGCGCGCGCCCTCGTGCGCAACCCTGACGTCTTGATTCTCGACGAGGCAACCAGCGCGCTGGACGTTTCGTCCATGAACGTGATTCGCGAGACCGTGGTGCGGCTTGTAGGGCGGAAACGCGTCAGTCCTGCTAGTAGTAGTGGTACTATGGGTTCAGGGTCTGCTGGGCTATCCGAGTACTATGTGCGGAACAGTGAACCGGGTGCGAGTCCGACGTCGTTCAGTGGTCTGGATAAGGGGAAGGAGGAGAGGAAGTGTATGACGGTTGTTGTTATTACGCATGCGAGGGAGATGATGGCGGTTGCGGATCATGTTGTTGTGATGGAGCAGGGGAGGGTGGTTGAGCAAGGGAGTTTTCAGGAGTTGAAGCGGAAGAGGGGATCGGCTTTTGGGAGAGCGTTGAGAGGGGAGGTAGTGTAGTAGTGTGTGGTGTGGTGGTTTAAAGTCTTGTTTTTCTGAAATGCTCAAGGTAAAAAGGTTCTGTTTGAAATGCATGTCTGTTCGGCGTTGAAAATTTTCATAGTCTCATCTGTCCCTTTTCTGTTCATAGCAGCATCTCGCAGACATACGTAGTAAGAGAATGTTCATTCACTGTTTCATCCAGAGCCACACACGAAATGATTCAAGAAAACGCAAAATAGATGTATTCCTATGAATCATAGCTATAGAAGATTCGACAGTACTTCGTAGAAATACTACCTTTGTATGTATCTCCTTCACAGCATACCGAATCAGCAAAAGGTCCATAAAAAAGCCATACAAAGAACAAATACAAAGGAACTTTCTCCCCTTCCTCCCCCCACGTCGTATACCTAACTCTGATAATTTCAATTTAGTCGAAGATCAATGATAAAGAAAAAGGAAAACAAATAAGACGCGAAGACAAGAAACACGTATTTCCCGCACAGGGATAGTACGCGTACTCGAACCAGTGTCAAGGGTCGTGGATGAAATTTCGATGGTCGAGCCTAAGTCAGTCGAAGAGGCATCGCGACAATTTGTTGCGGGTTGACCGGCGATTAGGTCTTGAAGAAACAGCCGTGCTCCGTGAGAACCAGTAGCCCGAGATCGTGATCGCAACATGTTGGTCGATCATCGCACGTTATTATGTCAAGGGGACGTTCTTCGACCACTGTACAATACAGGGGCTGACCCTACTCAATGCCTTATGTGTGCTGATGCCTTGTTTCTCGGTCATATGTAGCATTCCGGTTCAAACGCTCATGATGGTAATAGAAGTGGTGACTATTGCGTCTCTGTTGACGCTTATTCCCGTACATCTAATTCGGCTCCCATAGTTTTCGTCTATTACCGCCCCGGACTGGGCCTACTTTGGGAGCCGGACGAGAGAATGAGTCGGGGTCAAGTGGTGCGTTGGGGTCATGACGAGGAGCTGGTGGGGCTCGGAAAGTCGGGCCTGGGGGAACGTACGCACCCCGCGGAGCAAAGTTACCACGACCTCGAAAGGGTGCAGCGCCGCGACCGCGAGGCGATCCATGCCCACCGCGTCCACCACGAGGGGATTGCTGCTGGGTTGTACGCGCGAAATCGTTGGGATCGAAAACACGTGGGTTGGGGCTATTGGTAGCTGCTGGACCTCGAGGGGCGCGCTTGAAGAGAACCTCATCCTCATCGTCCGATGTTTCCTCGGGCTTAGTCTCTTGTGCGGGACTGGATTTGGGTCGCTCCGCTGCTTTAGACGCGCCTGAGTTGTTGCCCTTAGCAGCACTGGCTTCGACCTCGAGTTTGTGAATGGTCAAATGGTTCTTGTATTCACGATCTTCACGAGCAACCGCATCCCGTAGCTGTTCGAGGCGCTTAGCGCGGATGCCGAATTTCTGGGCGATTGCCTGCTTCGCAGGGTCGTTTGTGAGGAGAATGAAGGACTCGAGGGCCGCATCTGGGTTTCCTTCCTTGTTGATGCGCCATAGGATGTGATTGAAGAGTGGCTGGAGGTAGATGGGCACGGGGCCCTTGGTCGCCTTCCCAGAACGGGCGCCGCCGGTGCTGTTACGAGCGGTACGGTCCGGGGAGCCCCCGATCAAAGCGGCAGCCTTGTCGGCGTGTGTGGCTCGGTTGGCGGGCTTGGTGCTCCTGCTGGAGAAGGAGCGCGGGGACTCGAGCGTCTTTGACATGTCGTCGAAGCTGTGAGTCGAACTCATGGATGTCTCGTCGGACATGTCAAGGGCGTTGAAGGAGCTCTCTAGGTCTTCGTGGTAGTCATCGTCGTCCGACTCGCTGTCTTCCATGGAGAGCAGGGTCTCGGGGAGTAGGAAATGCTCCACCTCGGCCCAGGTGCTGTAAGCTTCGTCGGCGCCTTCGAGCTGGACGCGGCTTGCGGCCTCGTTGGACGTGACTTCATCGAGCCATTTGACGGCTTCGCGCGCGTCGGCGTTGATGCGCTCGGTGCCATTCTTGAGGCGATGGAGCTGGGTGAGGGCTTTATTCTCATGTTAGCGGGGGGACAGGGAAGCGGCAATTCTGTGATCGCCTACTGTGCAGCGGGACAAAGAGGCGGATGGCGTCCTGGGAAATCCACTTGCGGATGCCGTCGCGCGTGCTCTTCTTGACGCCGGCGATGAGGGCAGTGTCGTCGACGATGCAGTTGAATACCTTGCGCCTGGGCGGCTCGGGCGCGCGCATGGCCGTATCGGGCTTGCTGGGCCGGGAGGGAAAAGTGCTTCGACGCATGGTGGCGCGGGTGCCGTGGTGGCGATGGGGAAACTTGTCGCAGCGATGGGAAATGTGATGGTGGGCGGGCGAGGGCGGATATTGATTGCTGCGTCTGGGTTGGGAACCACGGGTGCGGCTTGCGCTGTTATTATCGGCGGCAGCTTTGCTGGGCGGAGCAACAATCCATTCGTCGTGGCGCAGTGTTTCAAGGCGTGGGCATTGTAGTCGCGCTGGGTTGGGGCAGCGCGCGAGGAAATGAGTCAGGCTGAGGAATGACGCAGCCCTTCATAGTCGTTGCGTTGGTGTGTTACTGTCACGGCGGTTGGGCAAGTGAAGTTAGGGCCCGCATTCCCCCAGCGATGAGGTGCTCACGCCAAGTGGGGGTTGCGCCACACAGCCACAGTTCACGCAGCATTCCATTCCTCGACCTTGCAGTACATACTACGTAGTTGCTAGCCTGGCCAAAATACAGTAAAGCCCGCCTTATTTCACTCATGCTCGCTCAGTAGCTCTCCACCTCGTTGCCCCTGCCACTGCTCATGTCTGGCATCCAGCCTTTGGGACGCTCGTTTCCACGCACTGTGAGCCCATACAGCCCTTTCTCAACCTTGTCTACACACTCCCGCATTACAGGCATTTTCTTCGTCTCCAGCTCAGCTGCAAATTTGGATCCCCCAGGCACCTCAAACATCTCGAGCTGCAGCCGAACCGCCCTCAAGTCGTCCAGGACAGTCCGTGGTTTCTGCGTCTCACTTGCAGCTGGCGTCTGTTCATCAATCTCCATCTTGTCACTGGCGTCTTCCTGGTCGTGCTCTTGCTTCAGCCTCTTGTTTGACTCCGCCTGTTTGCCGGATGGGAGTTTTCCACTGGTAGCCATGCTTGTGACAGCGAAGCGCATGAGCTCGCCAGTCATGTCACACACACCCAAGATGTAGTCTTCTGGGGTAAAAGCAATCGGTCCCGCTTCACCGCTCATGCTAGCAATTCGTGATTTTGCTTCATCGTATGAAATGAGTGACTGGGTTTCCAGGTAATGTTGGAAACTGAGTGCTTCCATGAACTCTTGATTTCCGCCTGTGATGTTATGAGAGTATCGATAGGCATTGAGTCCTTGAAGATCGGCAGCAATGCTCTTGTATCGATCCTTAATAGTTTCCCAGTACTCAGCATTCTTCTTAGTGACCCAGGGTGGTAATGCTTGGCCAACAGCCCGGACCCTAGTCTGGTCAGATGATTACACGGGGATTGTGATGGAAGGCAGCTCACCTCTGAAGGGTGAAGATGCTGTTGAACTGTTAGTTGCTGAGTCGAATTTTCTTAAAAAGTCCAATACATCTTCTTGCTTGACGCGGTAATGTCGCGCGATGCTTTAATGATCCTTTCTCGACGATCATGATGCTCGTCCAGCTCTGCACGGAACCCTTCGAACATGCCCACAAAAGGTGATGCCGATTGTTCTGGCTTTTCGTCCGCCATATTTCCGTCTCTTGGTCGTTTGAGCCCCATTGGTCTGCCTGGGTAATGCCTTGTAATCGACGTCAAGCAAACGCTGAGACTATGCACTAGTGCACGTTATCACGTGGGAGCTATTCCTCTTGTGGACTAGATCTATGCGACTGCTCTTGCATGCTGCGGAAGCCACCATCTCCTTTCCCCTTGCACTTGGCCAATCCACGTACTCTTCAATCGTTGCTTCCTACACCCTCTTTCTGTCTTGTGTTTTTCCTTTGAGACTGTGCTGGTTCTGTACCCTTCAATGACACAATGGCTCTTTCCTCCTTTTTCCGCAGTCCTATTTTGGTCTTCACAACTTCTATTGTCTTGCGCGCTGTCTTCCTCATTTATGGTTTGTGGCAAGATGCAAATTCACCAATGAAGTACACGGATATCGACTACTATGTCTTTACTGATGCTGCACGTTACATCTCGCGGGGCCAACCGCCATACGCCAGAGACACGTATCGCTATACGCCCCTCTTGGCATGGCTTATCTATCCTACTGTATGGTCCGGAAAATTCTGGTTTTCTTTCGGAAAGATTCTCTTCGCTGTTGGAGATGTGGCTACTGGATGGATGATGTTCCGAATCTTGAAGGAGTACAAGAAAATGGGAGACGAGAGAGCACTGAAATTTGCAAGCATTTGGCTACTAAACCCTATGGTAGCTACCATAAGCACAAGGGGTAGCTCCGAAGGGCTGCTTGGAGTATTTGTCACCGCACTCCTATGGGCAGTGTTAGCAAAAAAGGTACCACTGGCTGGTTTCTTATTAGGATTCGCGGTCCATTTCAAGATATACCCATTCATCTACGCCATCTCGATCGTCTGGTTTCTTGACGAGACCCAATTCCGATCCACGAAATCGGTCGCTTCGCAACCTTCACGATCACTGTTTGGTCAGATTCAAGCCTTCATTACTCTGCCTAGGTTGTCCTTGGCCTTTTACAGTCTCATCACTTTTACAGTCTTGAACCTTGCCATGTACCAGATGTACGGCTGGCCGTTCCTTGAGCATAGCTATCTCTATCACTTGATCCGTAGCGATCATCGCCACAACTTCTCGCCATACAACACATTATTGTATCTCAATTCTTCGCCAAATCCATCGGGCCTAGAATCACGTTCAGCATCCTTCGAGCTGGAGCGGCTCGCATTCCTTCCGCAGCTGCTGCTCAGTGCTGTTTTCATCCCACTTGCGTTGGCGAAAAAGGATCTACCAAACACGATGCTAGCGCAAACCTTTGCATTTGTCACTTTTAACAAGGTTTGCACAAGTCAAGTAAGTCATGTGGGGCATCTGGAATCTCGCTAAGACACTGATTTTTCCAGTACTTTCTCTGGTACATGATGTTCCTCCCATACTACCTTCCACAATCAACGTTGCTACAATCAGCCCCTATTGGCATCGCTGCCATTGTTGCTTGGATTGTTGGCCAAGCCGCCTGGCTTCAACAAGGCTTTCAACTTGAGTTCAACGGTCATTCAACGTTTTTACCAGGGCTTTGGTTGTCTAGCATTCTCTTCTTTCTCGTCAACGCTGGTATCCTCAGTATCATCATAGACGACACTAAACAGAAGCCAACACAAAGCAACATTGTACAAGAGAAAAAGAAACAGTAGTCAAGCTATGAACACGTATCCTGATATATCTCGAACCGGATGTTCCCATCATCTTATTCAATGAACATAGGGATCCATGTTCGCTGGTGATAACACATCACTCTGCGCTGCTTACCGGGGCAGAGCAAAGAGGGCTGGAAGTCAAAATGGGAAAATACCGAAGACAAGGACGTGAATGCTTATTAGGGAGCCCTAGATTTTAATGAGGCCATGCTCCTTCTCCACCAGAACAGCCCGCAACAGCACCCTAATAGAACTTTCACAAGAAATTCAATATATTAGATGTAAGCGTGTACTATACTAAATGAGTGTTCTTTCTCCTCTTTACTAGCAGTTGTTGCATTGACTTCCATAGTCTATCTGAAGTAGCAAAACACAGATATTTTTGTTTATAAAATTGATCCAGGAGTCCAGTAAGGAGAAAATAACAAGAAAGCTAGTGTGGCACCAAAAATCAAAAACTCCTTCCTGCCATTCGTGCGTCAAAAAGAGTTAGGATTAATGCTAAATTTGGCTTCAAAATCTATGATGTTGGGTTTTTGGTGTTTGAGGGAGAGATTCTTCTCCTCTGTATAAATAGACCTTCATACTAGGAACTACCAACGATGAACCCGCAACCAAAGAAACTTAGGCAATCACTTTCTCAAGCCGCCCTCAAATAACCCCCTTCCCCAACAGCCACTCAATAGTTTCCTCACACCATGGGCACCGCTTCCACGGTGGTGGCAACCCAGCATCAAGATACCGTTTACTCACCAACTCATATTGATCCCTCCCAACATGCTCTCCCATAATATGTGCTGACCACAGTTTTTCAGCATCCGCGTCCACCGTCTCGGTATTACTATTGGCCTCAGACTCCGTGGTGGTTAGCTCACTTATGGCGGAGTAATGGGTGGACCATGGTGAAGCACTTACACTTTCCTGTTGCGAGGGCTCTAACGTGTAAGTCTCCACCGCAGTACCCCCAGTATCCCCAGTACCCTCAGTACCCTCAGTACCCTCAGTACTTGAAAACTTTGACTTCTTCTTAGTTGACAATGAAGATATTCTACGAGGGGCTTTGATCTTGTAGAGCTTGCGTATGGTACGTGGGTTGCGGGGGAGGAGATTAAATGTCTTGGATATGGGTCCTGACCTTGGGGCTGGGTCTCTCCGATTTATGGTCGAGCTGGGTGTTTGTGGCGTGACGAGCGAAGAGTCTTCCGAAGGCACTGTTGGCTTGGGTTTTAGCCTACGGGGCATGTTAATGAAAAGGGAAGAGGGATGGGGTTCGTATGTATACAATTGGTGGAATATGTAGTGCATGGAAGATGAAAGGAAATTCTTACTCCTGATATATGCGTAATCGAAGATTTGTGGAAGATTTCAGAGGAACCACGGTTCACAAACACGGTGTTCCGTCTCAATGGCTTGCTACAGTTATTGCTTTCCAAATTCAGTCCCATAACCCTTCCTTTCAGGACTCCAAATCTTCTCCTTTTGAAACACACATCTCCTCTTAGGAATATGAACCCATATCAACACTTGCGACAAACGTAATAGCCCATCCTCATTCTTTCAACCCCTTTTACTTCCCTTCATTATCGCCCAACCCCTACAAAAACCTCCGGAAAGCAATCCACACTGAACTTTCAAAAACATCTTCCCGTACCCTCAGATCCAAGTCTTCCTCCTTCCCCGTATCCTTCCAAATTTTTTCCAATTCCACTACTTCCGTATCGCCAGACTGTGAAACAGGTATCAAGAGTATCGCACTAGGGTTGAATGCAGAATATGTCGGTATCCAGACTGTATCCTGACCATCTGTACCGTCTTGCTTTTCTTGATGTTTTACCTTTGTATCATGCGACTTGTTCTGCGCAGTTATACCGCTGATATACCGGTACAAAGCAAACTTATCAGGTCGAAAGGATGGTTTTGGTGTCAAGATGCGGGGTGGTGGGATGGGGAGTATGAAGGGGCGCCGAGGAAGAAGTGTATGGTGGATGTGCCTGGGTACGGAAAGGAGATGGCGAAGTAGCATTTGAACACTGGGAGGGAGATAAAAAGTGTGACTCTAGTTTTTCCCTTCTATTTGAAGTGATTTGAGTAAGTAGTATGTTTACAGATTGGGGATTTTATGGAGAGTCAGGACTGCGGTGTTGTATAGATGGTGGTAAAGCATTGTGAAGCTTAATCAAGAACATTGTTGCAAGCATGTAGATACGAGGGATATGTTTTTGGCAATGGATTTCTGTGCTACGAGATTCGCCCAACTCTCTAGTCATCGGAGTGAAGAACAATGGAGAGCCTATCTCAACCACAGTTTGACATGCGGGTCGGACCCTTTTCGACCACAACCTTGTAGCGATATCACTTGTTAATATTGGTGTATCTACACTACATTTTCAACATTGTAAATTGATAACAGCGGTTGCCGAACTTAATCCTGCATACAAACTCATAGATCAACCACGGCGATCTTGGTACGTAAGTTGACCGCACACCAAGCCAAAACTGCGGCAGTCGCATCTCTTTCGCTTTTCTGTCATAGACGCATATCGTGAATGCTGACTGCCGAAGAGAGCGGACTGACCGGAAAGTTTGTTTTGACTAATTATCACGCGCTAAGGCGACGTTTGGGTCCCGTCATTTGCTTGCGGTGCTTTCTCGGCGGCGGTCCTCCCGCCATGGTAGGCCACACATAAGTATCTAAGAGCAGTGAGTTCGTTTGAATGACCTACAGCCCAGAAAACAATTGAAACCGTTCATCCTCATCATTTGCTTCATTGTAAAGCCACTGCATTCGTCATGACTCAGTCTGAAGACACTCCACCCCAGATGCCTGCCTGGTACGTGCCAAATGCGACCGAGGACAATGTAGCGCCGGAAATCCGCGAGGTCCTCATAGGCTACAGCGGCATTCCGCGGGACCAAGTCCTCAACCACATCATGAAAATCCGTGATGAAGCTTGGAAAGTCTATCCGTATCCATGTATCGGTCAATTTCGATTTGTCGATCGCAGCTTTACAAAGCCTTCCAAGGAGTTCGATGAGATAATACAACGCGTGCGCAACGGTGAAAAACTGCTAGATATGGCGTGTTGCTTCGGCCATACAATACGTGAGCTGGTGCATGCCGGGGCGCCAGCCGAGAACATTGTCGGTTGCGACCTCCAAGCCGACTTCATCGAATTGGGATACAAGCTTTTCCAGGATCGGGACAAACTTGCAACCAAGTTTATCACGGCAGATATTTTTGATCCTGATTCCGCGCTTGTAGAGTACAAGGGGTATTTTGATATTATCCAGGCGGGCAAGTTCTTCCATCTATGGGGCTACGAAACACAGATCGTAGTCTGCAAAGCTGTTTTTGAATTGCTGCGGCCTCGGCCAGGCTCGATGATCGTCGGTTCACAGATTGGAGACCTAGAAGCTGGGGAAGGACCCTCACCAGTAGGGAAGATGTTTCGGCATAACCCAGAGAGCTTCAGGGAGATGTGGGAGAAGATAGGAAAGGAATTTGGTGTCAAGCTCACAGTTGAGACCCGGATGACAAAACTCGCCGAAGGGCATTTTAGGTTCTCAGATCATACCAGAATGCTTTGGTTCACCATCCGCCGTGAGTAGCTCTGCTGTATTTCAGAGCCTATTCCGTTGTCCAGACATGTACTTGGCAGCTAAGCGCCGGGCTGCAGGGGCCTACTTACCTGTGGGTCTTCGAATCGTCTGGACCATGTACAATACAGATCAGCCAAGATGAAGGGATGATTTCCGGAAGTGATCGCGCTGGCTTCAGCTGTATCTGGAACAAAAAATAAATCGTGGCTGTTTTTGTCGTAGCGCACCTGCACTTGGATTTTGCCGGAACCGGGATCTGTAGGGATAATGTACCTGTTCACGGCAACGCCAGCCGCTTTCTAGTATATGCATATTTCCCCAAAGTCTTCCAGATTCCATGTTCAATTTCTCGTGTTTGGCTAATTGGCCACCATACCGCTCGACCATACAGCCGGTACAGCTATATTGCTAGCTGCAGGAACCAGAGCAAGCTTCTGTACGATGGTCATGCTCCACAATATCTCCCGGCGGGTGGCGGTCAATTGCTTCGTGTTCATTAACTACTCTTGTCAAGAATAGTGGTTTGTTCTTCTGAGCCGAGGTGCTTTGACCGAAAATTTAGAAGCCCAAGAGCCCAGCCGTTCATTTATTTCATATTGGAACCCACAATGCTGCATACTTTTTGACTATATTTACACTGCGCAGTATGAGGAAAGATAGGCGTCTCTGGATCTATTATAAGTATTGATCTTTCTGGTCAAAGATCACTATCCGGCACCAGTTGAGAGCTCGGCACTTTGTGAAAGACCTTACTACCACTTGAGGCCTGTAAACCATCAACATGAAGGTCTCAATCCTCGCTGCAGTATTTGCTGCAACAGCTGAAGCGGCAGTCCGTGGAAAGAGGCAAGCTGGAATTCCCGACGGTAAGAAGAGTCATTTCTCAGAAAAAGCTCACTGCTAACAACATGAACAGTCAGTCAGTGTGGGCTGGACGCATTCGAAGGCCGCACGTCCGAAGCATTGCTTTTCTGTTCCAATATTTTGAAGTCAGGAACGGCCACCACTACTGTGACCAATGGATTCACGAGGACGACGACTACGACGGCCACGACCACGACCACGGTGACGATTTCGCCTTCAGCCACCCCTAAGCCGACGCCAACACCAACTCCTACACCGACTTCCAAGCCGACTTCTTCTACTCCTGTACCTCCATCTTCATCTTCTACCCGGATACCGCCATCGTCATCATCTATTCCCTCTTCCACAACACCATCCTCTACGCTAGTCTCCTCGACTCTTGTGTCGAGTCCTTCTCCGTAAGCATCCATTTCCTATTCTACTTAGTAACCATAAGTTACTAACGAGCCCATAGTACACCCACCGCACCACCCAGCTGCGGTATCGCAGCCTACGTCAAAGTAACCCCAGCGTACTACTTCGAATCAAGCGGCACAAAGAATACCTTCGACGCCTGCAGCGCCCTCTGCAAAGCTGACTCCAAATGCAAGAGCTTCGGCTACGGAGAAGCAAACTGCATGCTCTTCGATGTGACTGTGTACGTATCCCCTCCTCATTCCCCCTCCACTACTACTATCGCTAACTCCCGCCGCTTTAGCTCCGAGAACACAAACCTCAACCCAACATCCCCATACACCTTCTACGATTCCTCTTGCCCCTCTGAGATCCCCATTCGCAAGCGCTCCCCTCAACTCAACATCTCGATCGGCCTGCCCGGCGGCATTGGTATCTCACTTGGCCTGGGTAATGCGGGTGTCTCGTCTGCATGCTCGTGCCTTATCACTAGTGGCCCGGCTAGAACGACGGTGACGAGGACGGTGAGCAGCGGGACTACGACGACGACTACGGCTGTTAGTACGGTCACGACGACGAAGGCAGCGGCGAAGTGAAACAATTGGGGGAGGGTAGGGGTTGAATTAAGTAGATAGGAATTGAGTATCATTTTGATGTTTAGTGTATTCGTATGGTCGTGTTGAAATTTGTCTAATTAATACATATGTCTTGCTGCTAACGCAGTATAGATCCCATAGGACGCCTTTACTGAATGCTAAACCGAATGCTCTTCGCTGCGTCTTGTTCTGAGTCAAACTTGGATCCAGAATAACTGTCGGTCCCTCGCTTCTCCGGCGCAAGATATTACCGTGCCGCAATTTTCCTTGTAGTGTCGCATGCGTTCTGCTCAACGCAGTTCATAAACACCAACCCTGCTCCCAATCAAGAATCCCAAGTCGAGACCGATTTGCCTCCTCACTCGGTCCCATCCTCACCTTCCTGCTCTTTCTCTCCCTCTTTTCGCCCAATAATCTTCAAACCACCCCCTACACTCATTATGAACCCAACACCCTGCAAAATGCACCGCCAAATCCCCCTCACTCCACAGCATACGCGGCCCCCCAGCCGCATACGCATTAAAACTGCGCTGCGGAAAAATGCCCACATGCTTCCTGACCAACTCATGCTCAAGCATCAAATGCTTAATCGCATTCTGCTCGGCGAGATGATGTTCCTTGCCCATCAACATGGTTTTATCCGTCATCATTTCTAGAAAGAAGCGTGTGAACGCTGAGCGCCGGAAAAATACCGATCCAGCGTTAACGAATTGGTGGTCCTGCGTTATGAGGATGTCGACATCTTCGGCGCGGTAGCGGGTTGGTGTGTAGATGTTTGTTGGGGGTTTGGTGCCATTGAGAAGCATGGTGTTGCGCATTATGCTTTTTTCAATGGCGGAGGGGCTGAGGATGGTGGAGATGAGGGGGACGGAGGGGGTCATGATGATCATGTCGGCGTCCATGAGCCAGATCCATTCGGCTTTGGGGTGGAGGTAGAAGGCTTCTGCCAAGGCGGGGATTTTGGCCCATACCTATATCTGTTGTTAGATATTTTGGGGGTTGGATAAGAGGTGGAAGCGGGCGTACCCGGTGAGAATCTCCAATATCGTAGCGACTTGTGTTTAGCCAGAGGTTGGTGTAGCCGTGTCGATTACAGTATTCTTCCCGGTTCTCCAGTACCCGCTCTAGTAGGTTGGGGATCTGGCTGTTGTGGCCGCCTCCATCGCTTGCTGTTAAGATGATGACGTTTTTGGGTTTCGGCTCGCGCTTGAATCCATTGAGGCTACTTGCGTAGTCGGGTACGTCCCAATCCCATTCAGGTTCAAACTTGAAGTATTGGGTTTGAGGTTGCTCGTCGTTTGTTTTCAGTTCTACTACGGTATCACCCGTTATGTACTCGCGATATCGCTGAATGGGAATTGCATGGTGGTAGCTTAGGGGAACGATAACAAGGAAAACAGCGAATGTAGCGAACGCGAGTCTGCGTAAAAGAATGGTCTCAGCTATCTCAGTCTATCAATAGAAGAGGGTCCAGAGGCTAGCCGGGTGTTGTTTGCATGGCGATTTGGATAGAGGTATGCATGAATCGCGTTGCCGAAACTAGTTCTGGATGAGGAATCTACTCACTTCTTTGTCCACCGCTGCGAAGACTGCATACTGTCTGTCATTAGGGGCGCAGGAGCGCTTTTATATCGAAAGGAGCTGGGTCAAAAAAAGGCATAGTTATTGGAATACGCGCCTTCTCAGTGAGATATATACTTTTGTTTGTACGTAAGTCAGCATTTAATTCAACAGTCATCAAGATTAGGCCGAGAAACCGCATTGTCGCCTTTTCAACAGGATATGCTGGTGAGCCATCCGGGGTTTTGCACAGCGGTGTTAGTCCAAAAGGAGGTGTAAGGTTCTGACGAGATTATACGCGCGGGACGACTGGCTAGCGTACCAAGGTTCCTGAATAGGAACAAAACAATGCTATCCGTAAGTATCTTAATAATTGGGCCTTTTACTGGCAACTGCCGTTCAAGTTTTGCTGATGCAGTGCTTGTCAGTACTCACAGCGAGTATGTCTTTTCGTTTACTAAAAATGAAGCAATAAGCAAAAATACAACGAATCCAGTATTCATTTAAGAAAATTACCTCTACACGGCTCGACCCGACAACACCTCGTAAGTTGCTTACGTTGTATCGCAAATCCTAGCGAGTCTTCTATTAAAACAGGCATGTCCTTCCATAAATCTCCAAGCAGCCAATCAACCGCAGCAGGGCAAGCTTAATCAGCGCTAAGTAAAAAGCGGCACTCCCAAATCTTCCGAACGGAACCCTCACCTCACAACCCCAGCAGCTTGGCCAATACCAAGAAAACAAAAGAACTCAATCCCTCCTCAAATCGAAAGCCGTTCAGCGTAAAAAAAAAGGAAAAAAGGGGAAAGGAGAAGAGACAAAAGAAAATGTCATATCTAACCCAAATCACAAACCTAGCCGAATACCTGGCCTGCATCAAAGCCACAGCGGGCAAAACCATCCTCCTCGCCTACTGGCCCGAAGACTCGACCTCCAACGAAGTCGTTGCCGCGCTGCAAAAGCTCTTACCAGCATCCAGCTACGCAGAGCACGAGGTGGTAGATGTATACTGCTTCGACATGTATTCGCTGCCGGAGCTGGGCACCATGCTGGATGTCAGTTTTGTGCCGACGCTCATGTGGTTTATGGATGGGGTGATGGATCCGATTGTATGGCATGAGGGTGTGGCGATTGAGGGTGAGAGCGTGGAGAGGGGGGTTAAGCGCGTGGTGGATAGGGTCAAAGGGGGGGATATTGCGGGGGAGGATAGTGATGATGATTGGTAGGTTGGGGGTGATGGGTGCGGATGATGGCGCTAGAGAGAGGGGGAAGCGTGGGGCTGTGAGTTTTGTTTGTGATGCTACTGAGGTTTGGGGACTAAGAGTACTGCTAGAGTTTTTGTTGCGTTCAATGCTGGCTTCGATATGATACTCGTCCTGGCACCTTTTTTTCAATCGCATCTTGTCGGACGGCCCGTTCGGAACGGCTGATATTGACAAGCGTAACATAAAGTTCGGCCTTCCGGTCATCTCCATTGCATGACCCTTTCCTGATAGCGCAAGGGGTATTCACATCAGCCTTGCAGATGCTCGGATGAGAGTCAAGGATCAAACAACCTTTAAAGTACAATTACGAAGTCTGGATATATGACATGAAGATTAGAATATATTTTCATTAAGCGAGAAGAAAAAACGTCGAAGAACTTTTTATACAACCGACACACATGGTCCTCACGTCATAATCACGTGGCATAACATACACACTCCCACTTCCCTCTGTTTCAGCCCTTCAATCCACAACCTCGAGCATACTATACGCCTTATGCGCCACTGATTTCTTGACCACGGTCAACGGATCAATATTCTTTTTCACTTTCTTAATCTCCATCATGCCATCCGCCCCCTCGACTCCCACCTCCACCTCCTCAATCTCGTGATCGTCGTCAAACGCCCCAGTCTCCAGGAAGAGCCTAAGCATACCTTGCGAGTAACCAGAAACAAGCGATGTATTCGCATCATCCATGGTCGCCGGCTTACTCGTACTGTTTCCAGCGAGGTTCCAGAAGATGAGATGCGGAACCTCGTAACCCGCCTCCGCATACGCCTCTTTAACGCGTTGGAACGAGGATGTCCATCGACTCTCTGCTCCGTAGGCCTCATTGAACTGCATGTCACTGAATACGAAAACCTGCTTGACCATATCTTCTTGCTTGAGCTTGTTCTTGATAGCCATGGGGAGAATAACTTTTGTGAAGACAGCAACGAGATCCGTGCTACCACCCCAGGGGCTTTGCTCCAGAAACCTGACTTGCTCTCTGAGTCCCTCGCCTGCGCCGCTCGTAGAAATGTATGCGGGGTAAGTTTCAAAGGTGATGAAGCCGTTACCAAAGGGCGGTGCTGTGACCTCTGAGATCAGGAGGGAGAGGCCAATGGCAGAGTCCATGGGGCAGGAGCCATCTTTGAATACTTTAACGCCCATGCTGCCACTTACATCGCATACAGCGATGCTAGATTGCAGAGTGCCTGCATCGCGTACGCGCTGGACGAGAGTCTTCCACTGGCCATCGACGAGATCTCCAAGTATCTTGTCTTGGTTGCTCTGTTTTATAGCCTTGAAATTGACTTTCTTGCCTTCCCTCAGGGGCACCTGCCTGCTACCGGTACCTCGTGCTTTGCTGACTAGCGTCGATGGCAGCAGGGTAGCGCCAGACACGGTTGCAGTACCGGCGGTGACGTTGTTGACGTAGGTGGTAAAGCGCTCCTCGTCTTTCTGCATGAAAAGTGGACTGTAGCGGTCCATGGCAAGTGATGGTACCTGTTCATACTTGATATTCTCAAAAGTTTTCGCTGCAATCTCCCGCTCAACGATACCCAGGGCCTTACGTAGAGGTGATGCATACTGTTTTCGATAGAGCTCGCGGGCATGACGGAGGTAGAGTTCGCGGTTGCTGGCATCGGGACAGTGCAAGGCAGGATCTGGGAAGAGAATTTCGGCAATAGAAGACTGGATGAAGGTCTGCTTGTCGTGGAATTCACCAAAGGTGGGCGCCCACTTGGCTGCGAGCGATATCTTTTTCAAGTCTGATGCCTTTCCAGAATCCAATAGGGCTTTGTCGGACTTGAGTTGCTCTGCAAACATTCTCGCGACAGTAATGTGTAGCGCACGATGGAAAGGATCGTTCTTCAGCTTGTCTTGCACCCGCTGGTTGTGCTCTTGTCTTTGGCGGTGTCGGTTTTCTTTCGCAACCTTTGGATCCCAGTTTCTTGTTTCCTTAGGGTGTTCTGTATTATCGATAACCTGAGTGAGCAGAGAGAACGGGTCGCCATCGAACTTGAGTTGGTCATTTGCTGAAAATACCACTAAATTGAGGAGATCTTTCCAGTACCCATGCGACATTCCATACTTGATGTCGTGTGCTTTGGAAGGATCAGACTCATCAACCTCTACCATTTCAAAATCGTCTTCAAGCTTTTTGATCGAGTCGTCCTTGGACTCAGGCTTTGGCTCGGCCTTCTTCGCTATGACAGGTCGAACTAGCCACTTTAGGTTCGCCAGTAACGTCAAAGGATGGTTCTCGGCCATCCAGCCCAAGGCCGTGTACGCAGTGAGTCGACTGCTTTTGCCCAGATGAATACTGCGTGCATTGAATATGATTTTCAAAGTTAGGAGAGGGTCTTCGTTCCAGGCATCTTTGAGTAGGGTCTTAAGTCTTTCGGGCCCGGTAGCCTGGCCAAGGTCATAGAATAGGTCCACGAGCACATGTTTCGATGAGATGTTGGTGACGTCGCCGTTCTCTGTCAATGTTTGATTGTTGGCCGCAAGCTGTTCATCTGTTCGCACGTGGGCGGCGTGATTTTCCAGGCCAGCGACAAATGGCGCTTTCTGTGGACGGAGATTGTTAGCGTCAGACGACGCCTTTCGCTTCAATCCGGTGCTACTCACGGGCTCGTTTTCAGCAACGGTGACTGATTGACTGCCATTGGCAGTGGATTTTTGTTCACTGCCCTCTTTCAAGCCATTTGGATGTATTTGCTGCTTCAGAAGATGCTGGAACTCATCTTCTGACATGTGTAGTGCCACATCCTCTGGAAGAAATACAGGGAAGGATGAATTGAGTACTGAATGTTTCTGTGAGCCGGCAGCATCACTGTTGGAAGCCATTTTGAGGAGATGGCTCTGAGTTCTAGATTTGGTGTTTATTGGGTTGCTGATATTTATATATACACAAGGTGTGAGTCAAGACGGAAGAGGCATGGTAGGTGTTGGTGTGGGGTAACTGGGGGCCTTGGAAGATGGAGGTGCATGGCTGCCTATGGAGGAGCTTGTAGCTTTGTTGCTTCCTGGATCCACAAATGCTACCATCGAAAAGAAAGGGCACAGCAAGATGAAAGGGCGCAACTGTTACTTGCCAGACAATTGTGTGGGTTTATCGAGACAGTAAACGCGTATCGAAATGCCAGACTAAAGATAGTGCAGCCTACAAAGAGAGGACTAATGAGCAAGCTGCAGATCTGGAATTGATCACCCGTATGTCCATTATCTTGTGGCTGCACCTGCGCGTAAGTAGGAAGTAGGCAGCCAAGGTCACGTGATTGTCACGGTACCTGTGCCATGGAGAGATGGGGGATGGGGATCAATGTCGATCACAACGCTTAGTCTCTTGACGTGTACAGGATAGTCGCGACCTGAACAGGCAGCTACTCCGTGTGTACATACGTAGTTGACGCCATTGAGATGTAGCTGGCCTCGCATTGCCCTCTGGCGGCAGAAGCAGAGCTGGGGAGCAAGAAAAGGGCGAATGCGTCATCTCACCTACAGTTGCTGCGACACCCTCTAGCCTTGCAGCATTTCCAGACGCCTCAACACAAACTCTGCGCGTGTGTAGACAACCATTGGCACGCCTGCTGGGATGTCCATGTCCTCGAACCCGCCGTGACCGTCAAGCTAGGCTTGGGGATGGCCTGAAAGCCAAGGCTGGCACGGCCTTCCGTACCACTTCCAAAACACCGTATTGACCCTTGGGATAGTGTTTCCAGGTGCCTTGAACCTGGCTCGCGGGCCGGACTCCACTTGACATGGCATCGTCCCATGCTCAACCCCAGAGTCTTCGCCATGCCAACGACCAAGCCCTCTGGCCCGCCGCTCCCGTCCAGCTCGCGCGCGGCCGCCAGCCCAGAGACGCGCAGGCCAAAACGGTGCCCTTCACCAACATCACCACCTTTGACCGCTTCGAGGCTTCAGTACGCGACTATCTCAGCAGCCCGCCAGAGGACCCAGAGCACACAGATGCCCAGTTCTCCTTCTGGATAGGCACTCGTTTCTCAGTCCCACCACCCTCGTCCACATCGACATCCCGCACGTCTCAGCCCCAGCCGCCATCTCAGCAGCCCCCGTCGCAGCAACAGCAGCCACCGCAGCAGCAACAGCAACAACAACAACAACAACAACAACAACAGCAACACCAGACTCGCCTCCCCCACCACCAACAACCCCATACCTCATCCGGCTATCAGTCTGCCCCATATGGCAGGCCTCCGCAATATCAGCCTCTCCCAGACCCCACTCTTGCACCCCGGCCCAGCTTCGCCGAATCCGTCGAACCGAATAATGGGCCCAAGAAAGTGGAGCTCAGGGTCGAGTTGACTGTCGCGGAAGCGTTGCAGCCAACGCCGGACCCCAAGGACAAGATGCGGAAGCAGAGGGCAATAGCAAAGTGCTGTGTCGATGCAATACAAAAGATCGATGGGTACCGCTACAGCTTTCACAATTGCTGGAACAGCAGAGAGGATGACAGCTTCCGCTTTTCCTACTACTGCAACGACTCGCTCCTCAACAAGGACCGTGCTGCCAATGGCAAAGGCGCAAAGATGGGCAAGCGTGCGACCAAACCTGTCTACGACTGCAAGGGCGTGCTGTCTGTCAAGTTCTCGGCCTCCAAGCAGACGCTTGATGTCTTCTACAAGCATGTGCCCATTCATAAGACATACGAAGAGCGCGCACCGCCCCCACGCAAAGATTCCAAGCGGCGAAAGTACCTCGAGGAAAATGATCCAGAGGCATTGGCGAGGCTCACGAATCGATCCAGACAGCTGAGCAGCGAGGATCCGGACGTTCCCAAGACGAAGAGAAAGAAGCCTCCAACTCCATCTCTTCCAGACCCTCCAAGGTTGTCCAACACTTCACTTGAAAGTGACCTAAGAGCTCAGAGTCTTCGATCGCTTTTGGAGCTCATACAAGTAGACACACCCTCACAGATAGTGCCGACGTCTTCTGCACCACCTCCACCTCCACCTCCACCGCCCCCTCCTGCCCCTCATCGTCCTGCTCGGCCAGCACAAGAGCATTCGGCAGCCCCACAAAACACACTGTATGTTGAACCTCATATTGGGCAGACACCTCAACGAAAGCGACCCAGGACCAGTTGCAATGCCTGCAAGACAAAGAAGACAAAGGTAAGTCTACAAAAAGAGTGGAAGACGTTGGCACTCGTCCTACTACCCACGCTTTACCGAACTGACATAATTGCAGTGCGATAACACACGGCCAATATGCCAAACGTGTATCACCAAAAACCGGGAATGCTTCTATCCGGAATCCGCGACTGATGAGGACCAACGTCCGACTACCGGTCCTCCTGAGCCGACACAGCACTCCCGTCAAGCGTCTCACTCTGGTCAGGCTTCAAATAATGAATCCGAGCTTGAAAGATTGAAGAGAGAATTGGAAGAAGCCAAAGCAAAAATACGCGAGTTCGAGACGGAGAGGCGCTCCTCAACGACTCCTGTGCAAGCACCACATACTGCACCCAGACCACGGTCGCAGCCGCAACAGATTCATGTCCAGCCACAGCAGCCGCATGTTCAGCAGCAGCCGCATGTTCAGCAGCAGCCACACGTTCAGCAGCAGCCACGGCAGATGCGACCTCAGCCTCAGCCCCAACCTCAGTCTCAGCAGCAGCCTCAGCCTCGCCATCGCCCTCAGGTCTCACAGTCCCAGACAATGCCCCAAGTTCCTCAACAGCAGAAACAGCAAACTCCACAACGCCAACAGACCATGCCAAGCCACCGTCAGCAACTATCGCAGCTCAACCAAGGCTCGTCGCGTGGTATTGGCAGCCCACCGCAGCAGTTGATGTACAAGGTTGGCAGTCAGTCTCCACAGCAACGTCCACAACAACGCCTTCAGAGCCAGCAGCAGCAGAACCAAATCGGAGCATCGCAGACAATGACAACAACACAACAACAGCTCCAAGCACACCAGATTCAGTCCTCTCAACTCCAAACACCCCAAAATTACTTTGCAACCAACCACTCTAATCATTCTCCCTACGGCACTCTGAACAGACCAATACCTCAGAATGGGCATACCGTCAACGTCATGACCAACCAGAGTGCACTAATGCCACAAAATGGCATGTCGATGCAAGGCAACAACGTCCAAGCAGCGCAGACCCAGTCACAATCCTCGAACCAAACAAACCAAGAAATGCTCTCTTCAAACGAAGGAATAGCCTCTGCTGCAGCAACTCTCAACCCCAACAACCCTTTTGCGAGAAGTGATTATGCATGGTCTACCCCTGCATACTATGGCTTTCCAAACCAAAATGCAGCTCAGCACCAACAGCAGCAGTCTCAAGACTCCCAACAGCAACAGCAGGCACAGGCTGAGGACGCGCATTGGGGCTAAGACAAGCAAAACTTTGGGGGTTTCAACTCAATTAGGATCAATTACTTGTGTTGGTCCTACTTTCTCTTCTCCCTCCACCCCACGCCTCTCTTCATCTTATTCTTTACTTTGGGGGGTTTGAATCAAAGTATCATGGTAATCTTGATGACTGACAAAAATTTCGGATCTTCACTCTGTTCTCCTGCTTGGTGTGAGTCTTTGTGTGTGTGTGTGTGTGTGTGTGTGTGTGTGTGCTAGGGCAAGCGTCGGCGTCCAACTTTTACATCTTTCTTTTTTTTCAGTTATTATGAGTTCTTCGCAGAATACGAATTTGAAATATTTGGCGTGTAAAAGACATTTAGATACCCAGTTGTTGATTCAAATTGTTATTCTTTTTCTTGGCCCACATATGTTGGTTTCCTAATGCGGGGGGGTCTTTTCGAGTTTAAAATTGAGATTTGGACTTGATTTGTGTGGGTTTAGTATGTGGCAAAAATGAGTAGGGTCCTAATACATGTTCAAGGTGAATGAGTTGTGTAGTTCTCAGTTAAGTCATCATTCGTGTGTTTGATAGGAAATGATCGGTCAAACTGCTCTTCCTTGATTCTGAACAGCAATGATTATATTCCTTCAAAGCGTACCAGATGGAAATGCGTACCTTATCATCCGTCCCTTTCAACGCCAGAATGCCGCTTGAATATGCCTGGGCTTCGCTAACCTAATCGCATGCTGTATTACCCTCTGGTAAAAATGAACCCACCCCCTAAAATAACGCCATGCAATGCTAATGACTATCCATACCCTGTGGCCTCTGGGTGAACTTTTTCCTTTTCCCCTTTGGCGTGGTCTTGTTCGCACTAGTCTCTCCATCTTCCACCGCGTTGTCATCTTTCTTGGTTTCCGACTCTTCCTAGAAACCAATCTTGGAACCCAAACCTCGGAATGTGTCGCCAATACCACTGCCCATAGCAACCGTCTTGTCGTTTGTCTTGTTTGGCTGAACTTCCAATCCGGCTGCCAACATGTTCAGGCGTGTCAATCGCAGGCGAAGGGTATGATCGTACGACTCTGCCATCTTGAGCGCCTCCTCTTGTACTTCGTGGCGAGGGTCTCTCGGTGGGCAGATGAGCAAGCGATCAACAAGATCTATCCGTGCATCCAGCTGGCGGTTCCTGATCATTTCTTCCAAATCTTCTTCAATGGTTCTGCCTTCAGCTGCGGGGAATTTCGAAGTCATCTCATCGAGCGTGACACAGCTGAAAGGAATGAAGTATTGCACAATGCTCTTGTTCCGGATGCGGCTGTAGATTGTATTCAGAATCTTGGAAAGATACACGTCGAGGAGATAGTCGTTGCGGTAGCCTTCGAGCACTTCGAGACAAGCGCTGTACTTGGAGTTGCAGAAGAGGTTAATGGCGCGGCGGATGTGCGGTTCGAGTTCCAGGAAGTTGCGGAATTCAGTGTTTGCAAGAACTCTGCTTTGCAGGTCGCTGCGATCCATGTATGCCAGAGCGCAGAGACCACCGTAGACTGCCACGTCGTTTGGTGAAATAACCTCCTTCTGCCACTTGATGTATGCTGCAGGCTCAGCAGTCAGGTATGCTGCTGAAGTGCTGAGAAAGGCCGTTGCGGCCTCCCTAAAGTTGCCCATTGCCATGTGACATAGGCCGCTGCATGCAGATATGATGGGTTCTAGCTTGGCCTTCTCTTCACCCTTGACCTGAGTGGCCTCTGACTTTGCCAGATTTGCCAGTACGTTTGTCCATGACTTTTGTGCAATGCTGACGAATACGAGGCGGAGGGTCATATCGGCGAGGTGTTTCGGTGAGGTGCAATGCTCGCGCATCTTCATGTATGCCTTCTGTGCATTGGAGAAGTCGCCAATGTCATAGTAGAAGTGGCCGAGGTCCTCATTGCCCATCTGTGGTTTGTCAGAGCCAGGATGATGGAGTGATATCTATGACTACTTACCCGTATGCTTTCCTTGATCAAGTTGTTTTTATACGACTTCAACTCGTGCTCCAGCCTATCATGCTCCTCACGGACTTCCCGTGTCTTCTTCTCCGCCCAAGTTGTGTCCACCAACGCAGCAGAGTCATTCGGGGCAATGCTGCTGAAATCCTCGACTAATCTTGTATACAACGCAACGTTCTTACCTTTTTTTGTTTCGGCAATGGCCATGCGATATGCATCGACAGCAAGGTACGGAGAGTGGGCACCAATGTGATGGAGGCGGTCGATTCGCGTGTAGCCTACCAGAAGACATGAGGACTATTTGAGTATCGGATTTAGGGTGCAAGAGCCATACCAGTGTAGTTAGCGATGTACGACTCCAGGTCGAATTTGGGAGGGTCTAACACATTTAGCACTGCATACCCCACGACAGGGTAATGGTTGACATCATACCCTTGACGACGATTTCGCCCTTGGACTTCTGCTGCTGGAAGAAGGGCGACTGCTCAATACTCGACGCCATTGTGTTGGTTGTCGTGTTTTGTGTGTCGCGTGTTGTGTGTGTGTCGTGTCTGCGGCGTCGGGAAAGCGGGCGGATAGGCAGTTGATTGCTGTAAGCTCCAAGCTGTCCCCGTCGCTGCTGCCTTCCCCACGGCGGGGCGCATTGCGCCATGACTAAGCACAGACCCCTTCGCTTTTGCCTCGCTGCGTTTCACCAGCACAACTCATGACGAGGTAGCAATTTGCAAGCATTGGACAGTGGTTGAAATTATCACAGATGGATTGATATATGGATTCGGAGAAAATTACATCTTCTCGCGGCCAGCCACGTACAGATATGCCCTTTTCGTTCATACATAAGTAGCCACTTATTAATCCCTTCTGTCCTCTCCCTTGTCAACGCCAACAAGCCAGAAGAAGAAGAAAGCAAGAAAAGAGTAGAGCCCAGTGGTATCGGTTGAATAAGAAAAAGAAACAAAAACAAATGCTTTGGTGGTACAACAAAGAAGGTTTCGTCATCACATGTCATTAGCCGTGTCAGTGTACGGGTCGACCATGATGCCCGCCAGGCAACCCTTTTTTTGTTCGCTTTGCGTCCTTTGGTATCCGCCAAAAAGAAACGGGCCAAGGATTCGCTCGAGAACGCTCCAGTCGAAGAGAGAAGAAATATTCAAATGCTGTTTGTACCAACATGTTTTTTACACCGTCCACTCAAGCGGCATGGTCTCCATGGATGGAGCACCGCTCGAGATGATGTTGTCAGGTACCCAGACGCCCCTCTCCTCAGCAGTGGCACCATGCACCGCCTCAGCGCGGTTGAGCGTCTGCACATCCAGGTCCGTGACATACGCCTTGCCATCGGGCAGCTTCATGCGTACTTCGAACTCTTGGTCAAGCATCATGTCATCTTTCCACAATCTGCGTTGACCGTCGTACACACACAAGACGCGCTTCTTCATCTTCATCTTGTCGGTAGCGCAGCCCCAAGAGACGGGGTAGTTTTTGCGCTTCTTGCGTCCGGAGCCAGTAATGGCCACACCACCTTTGGAGAAGGTGAGGCCAGCGCGTGGACTAGACTTGGTGACGCGGGCAGAAGAAATGTGCTGAGTTGCGTTGCCACCCCCGACGTGCTGCGTTGCGCCGACACCTCGGGGATGTGTTGATTGTCAATGCGACTTGGTAGACTTGATGCTACCCCTGCCTGAGCGGGTGTGGCGGCTTCCCCAAGTAGCATCATCTTGGTCATCGTTGTCTACCTCCTCCTCTTCGAAGTCATCCTCATCATCGTCCTCATACTTGGGGATTATGTACTCGATGCTCTTGGACAGGCCATTTCGGTCTAGGGTTTCGGTGACGTTCTTGTCCTCTGCAACAGAGGTAAGGAGACGCTGGTTGATGGCCTCTGTGGGGTCGGTTTGCTGCACGACGCGCAGCACGCAGTCGTCCAAATGCTCATAGAACTCTTGCGCGTTGGCAAATGTTACTGAACAAGTGGAGCAAGTGCCGGCAACGCTGGGCTGCGAACTGCCAAATGACTTGCGGCTCGCGGAGCTCTTCTTGCGGCTGTTGGGAGGGTTTTGCTCAACGCCATGAACTGATGTGAGATGCCTCTTGAAGACATCGGCGCGGTTGAACGACTTCTCAGCCGCTGAGCCACTGCCTGGACAGAAACCACAAACCATGGTGCCCTTGTAGTGAGTAAGAGTGTGTCGGTTCTTGTCGTACTTCCTTGCAAAGCCCTTGACGTGGTACTCGCAAGTGGTGATCGGGCACTTTTCGGGCCTCTCGTTTTGGTGGGTGAGCATGTGTGCCTTGAGATCTTTGAAAACACGTCCGCACTCTGGGAGTGGGCACATGCCCTTCTCCCGTGTCTCGTCGTCTACATCGTAGCTGCTAGAGCTCTTGCGGCTTGTGCCAGAGTTTTGTGAGTGGAGGGAGTTCACTGAGCTTCGCCGTTGGCCGTTGTACTTGGGGTAGGGTTGGTATTGTTGAGTGTGGAGGTATGGGCTAGCGCTGGACTTCTTGATCCGTGCGGAGCCTGGTCGCTGGCTATATGAAGAGAACTGCGACAGGGCTGGGGATGGTGGTTGCTCAATGACTGGGAAGTAAGGGGAGGGTGTGGTCCTGATCTCAGGATAAGGGCTCTGAGGAGCGAATGCAAAAGGCTGAATGAGATTAGGATCTGCTTGCAGCACGTTAGTCTCTAAGAGTCTCTTGAAATGGAAGGTGACCAACAAGATGGAGAGAATTGAGAAAAACGCGGCACTGATGTAACAGAAGAAAAATGGAGTGACGGAGAGTTGCGTGGATAGGTTTTGTGACAAAGAAAAGAGTTCGACCTCACAGTTGACCGAGTCGCCGAGGCTGGAGTGACAGGTGTTTTGAAGACATTTTGCTCGGGGGTTGGAGATGGAACAGAAGAAGAAGATGATGAAAAAGAAGAAACGGCTATGGAAGAAACCAGTGACTTACCCACATACGACTTGTCGTTTGCAACCATGCCTGAGTACTCAAAACCAGATGTGAGTCCGCCCATAGGCATTGGGTTCCAAGGCTCGGTGAATTGG